GGAGGAGAGTGGAGGTGGGGTGGTGGAGGTGAGCGATACCGTTTGTTTGCAGAATTTCATGAATTCCATTCAGGTGAAATGACTTCCGTTATCAGAAACTAGGGTTTCGGAGTACCCGAACTGCGCGAACAGCTTTCGGAGTTGCCGTATGGTAGCTTTGCTTGTGGTTGAAGCCATCTCAATGACTTCTGGCCATTCTGAGTAGGCATCCACTACAATGAAAAATATCCTTCCAGGTACTGGTCCAGCAAAGTCCGAATGGACACCTGACCATTGTTTCTCATTTTTCAGCTACGTGAAGGGCTTCGTTTTGACCAGTGCTTTGGCGACTTCTTGACAGCTAGCGCATTTTTGTCCTTCGTAATTTTGTCCAGTGTACATAATAACGAGCAAGACTTCATTCTTAACATTCCCGGATGTCCTTCGTGCAACAATGCAAGAGCACGATTCTGGAACTTGACGGGGTCACAATACTTGGTCAGAAAAAAAGGCAGTCGCCTTGAAGGGAGAGGGAATGGCAAAGTGCGAAATAAGTTTTTACCTTCGGCGGAGGTTGTTCGCCCATTTGTCTCCGCAAACATACTGAGTTAAATCCCTCAGTGTTTCGTCTTTGACACTCTCTTCTGCTATCAGATTCGTATTAATGAGAACCTTTGTTTTCAGAGCCTCACACTGGAACTCAGCCCATATGGAGCGGCTGTAATGACGATGCCCTGGGCTTGTTCTGCTTGCTCAGCAAACAGAGGCGACAAGGCATCGGTTTGTTCAAAGTCTGTAGTTTTCCTGCACTCAATTTTAAAGTCGCGTCCTCGAAGTATCAATGACCATCGCAGCATATACTGTAAGCCTTTCTTGCTTTCAAATATTGACAGTATAGGTTTATGGTCTGTAAGAACGGTGAATTGGCGTCCTAGCACAGTAACGGCTTGAATCTTTTCAAGATTTGAACGTCGGGCTTCTGTCGATTATGATCGCAAGGTAGTGGATTTCTGGCATCATAAAATGACATTTTTTCATCATGCACACGGAACCCATACTGTTCAATTCGACAAAAGAGCTTCGAGTTTGTGGCGGTGCTCCATTGCAGTTTGTCCCGTAAGAATTATATCGTCTAGTTACGCTGCTACTCCGTCAAGTTTGCTATCATAGAGCGATGATTTGTTAAAATATACCTAGAGCTGACTATGGAAGGATCCCAAATCGAAGTGGCCATTTGAAATGAAACCTACACTGCTGGACTTGTTTTTGGATGCTGAGTTCAAATCTGCTACCCGAATTTGCCAAGCGTTTCTCTGAACGGAGTTATGAGGGTGATTTCAGGGAGACAAAACAAAAACATAAGAAAACCTAAATCACGTGGATGTGCCTGGATTCCCAACGGCGGCTTAGTGTAGTGGTAAGCGTGACGCTTCATGTGCTAGAGGCTCAGGTTCGGGTTTTGTAGGGAACGGAATTTTCGCATTATATAGAATTTTTCCCTTACTACTAGAAAACACTCTCATGGTAATTTTATCAAGTTTTATGATTTTTTGGCACCTTTGCTGATTTTTATCCACATAAAGTAATACTTCAGTTTTACTCGTATGCCCATGCACTCTAGATTCACAGTAGGATAAATTTTGCCACTTTATGAACTAATGTGATACTCTAGCACGAGAAGCTTTGAACGAAGAAGCTTCTCACAATGGGAGCAACGGATGAAAAAGAACTGGTCACAGCCCATTGCTTCACACTTACTGACCCTAAACAGAAGGAAAACAGAATTGTGTAAGCGTCCCAAAATCACCCGGATGAGTGCTTAAGTAGCCGGCGGTATATCACGAATAAAAGGGAAATTTCCTAAAAAAAATCCAACCGCACAGAACTGAAAGTAGACAAGCGATAGTTAGCGAATAACCCGTATATACACGCAAAAGTTTAGATCATGAGTAATTACATAGGAGTTTAACCATATTTTTCAAAGGAGATAAGAAATGAGCTTCGGCTGTATTAGCCTCATAGTAGCCTGGAGCAGGGTGTCATTCATTTCACCTGCTTTTGTGGAGATAAGATGCACTGACTAGCTTTCTGGTCTTTGAATGATGTCCACGAGTTCACTATCAGCAGTGCCGGTGTTGGTGAGTCCCAATTTAGCATCAACACCCTTTTAAGCATCATCGTTGCTCATCATGTGCGTTTAACTCGCCCGGATCTCCAAATTTTGCACATGGAGGAATCTCCCACTTGGTAACAGGTAGGTAGGTAGGATATGGTATCAGCAAGGTGTTAAAGGTCATAAAACGTGATAAAATCGCCATGAGAGTATTTTCTAGTCTCTAAAGGAAAATTCTATATAATGCAAAAATTCCATCCCCCACAAAACTCGAACCCTAGCCTCTTACACATGAAGCGTCACGCTTACCACTCTACCAGGCCGCCGTTGAGAAACCATGCACATCCACGTGATCAAAGTTTTCTTATGTCAAGCTCGCTGAAACCACCCTCATAACTATGTTCAGAGAAACGGTTGGCAAATTTGGAATGCAAATTTGAACTCAGCATCCAAAAATACGTCCAGCAATGTAGGTCTCATTTTAAATGGCCACTTCGACTTGGGATCCTTCCCTGGTGAGTTCACCCCGAATGGTAGACGGTCAATTATTTTGAGTCTTCAGCTACGTCAAATTGTCGGTAATCTTCGGCTAAGTCGATCTGCGGTAATAGCTGGCCACCGTTGAGTTTTGAGACAATTTCTTGTGTTGTAGGCAGTGTATGTTGGAGTGAGTTAGAACCATTCAGCTCAGTCGAATAATCTGCTCATAGTCGGATACTACCATCGCTTTTCTTCGCAAAATCTATTGATGCTGCCCAATCCGTGTAATCTCAACCGCTGTCAGAACTTCTTAAACTGAGGGGCCGATTTCTGCATTAACGGCTGGCTGAGAGGCAAATGTCAGAGGTCGCCTTTACGGTATATTGGTTGAACACCGGTTACAAGAACAGTTCCGTCTTAACTCTGGTACAGCGTCCAAGTCCAGGGGCAAATACATTCGCGAAGTGTGTTCTCAAGTTCAGTGCGATTGTTGTATAATACAATGTTGCCGTTGCCTGCTGGCAGTTGTACTGATCCTTATGTTGACGGTTGCCCGGCATTTGCATACACCACTCTAGACTTAGCAGATCGTTTCTTCAGTAACCTAACATTTTCTTCGTCCAGAGATAGGTCGGTGATCGCGATCGAAGATCGCGAAATCTGTATCAAAAGATCCATGGATATGCGTAGGTGAACCATCAGCGCTTTTCATTGTTGCAATACCTTGACTAGGAGTCGGTTACCCGATCTTGTTCCATTTTGCGTGAAATCATCGTGATATCTGCTCCATTGTCGGGTTGCAGAAGAGTAGGTTCTCCATTTCTGAGCACTTTCATATATGTATGCCCATCGCGGGCAGTAATGGATACATTTTTACACCGGAACTTCCGCTTTGAAGATTTCGTTCTTGTCCTCTAAGTTGACAAGCTTTTGCGGTTTTGCTTATCCGAAGAAGCCTCTTGATCCTCACAGCAGGGAGGATTCCCGAAAATTACACGCTCTGGATAGCGTTGTTTCTTCATTGGTTTTCGCTGACGAGCCGCTTCTAATATTTCTCTCGTCTCCATTGCTCGATTCCGAGCGCAATGTGACGAACGTTTCGCATTCACTGATGAAGTCGTCGAGAACTAAGAGGACGTCACTTTCTCCTAGGCGGTTTATCTTGTTCAGTAGTCAGAATAGTCATGTATAAATTACATTTTCTATACATTCACATTGTTGCGGGATACTCGACTATAAAAACTTCGTTCTACGGTGTGCCTGTTAATTGTCGTCTTTTGCTCAACAGAACATTTTGCTTCGGAGCTGTAACACTGGCGATCAGGATGAGATGAACCGCGACGTGCCTAACTACGCTCCAGCTACATCAAGGATGTACCACCTTGGGTTACTCATTTCGATATGTTATACCCATAAAGGACGTTTCTAGTTGAACTGAATTTGAAGCAGGGATGTGTAGTAGTGCTGCTCCGCAATCTTGTAGGTCTATGCAACACAACAAGACTAATCGTAAACCATTGTGGTCGTTCTTTGTTGCCGATTAGTCAATGGGATGAATAAAAACAAAATTATCACATCCCACGTATGGTATCTCTTTAAGCCGACGAAGGAAAGCCGATATTTGCAACGACCAAAAGCCTATACCAAATGCGGGCACCGCCAATGGATTGGCGCAACTTATGCACGCTGTCTTAGTTCCTCTGTGAGAAGGCAATGCTGTTTGCTTTTCAGGCTTTTTTCAATCCTCCTAAAATCAAGCTGGCTATCACAGCGAACATGTTTGGGACAGCAAAAATGGTCTCATCGGGTGATCGCGAGAAAGCAGAATCGGTGCAGCTTTCTGAAGTGCCGATCACTGATGGGTACCCTTTGAAGGATCATCCCTCGCAGACCCCCTCCTCTCCGAAGCAGGCCACGCGAGCATACGACCGAAAGTTTGCAGAAGAAGACTTTTCGCCTTTACTTCGCATCGGACTCTATCATTCTGACGTGAGAGTGGCTCTGCGTAAGTGTGGCCTTGACGACATGGTGCGGGTGGCGACAGGTACCCCCAACAAACCTCAGAAAAAAACTGGTTCAAAATCGTTGTATGACTGCCTTTGCATTACCTCCCTTTGTGTTATCTGTCCCAACGGGCGAGAGGGAGACTGAATGGCATCAGGGGTGATCTATCTGATCACATGCAAGCTTTGCGGCGACGAATACATAGGTAAGACCGGACGACCTTTAATATGTATGGTTAAAGGTTCACGATAAAAATGATTTCTGGGTTCTCTTCCCAGGAATACTCATTGGCCTCAAGGTAACAACAAGGACGTTGTCGAGTCTCAAAACTCAACAGCTAGGAAATAGTGGGAGCCCCGTTACCGGATCGCCCGGAATTCCTGCCCCTCAATCGATGTCACGTCAGACGAGTGTTGAGGCGATACAGACTGCAATAGTGCTTCTAAGACCCACACTCAATCAGTTGATCGCCAAGTGATGAGGCGTGTTTTTCTCCCATTCCTTTTCTATCTATTATTTTTTTGCTGCAGCGAACCATTATTTAACTTTCTGTCACAAGAGGTACGTAAAATCTTTTCTGCCTAGAAATTGCAAGTATCTTTTTTGTTGTGTTACAACTCTATATTTTCCAATCATTCACTATTTTGTCCAAATTTCTGAAGCATAAATAATCTGGATTAAAGAGCATTCCTATAGGTGAAATTTGTTTTTGTACTGTTACTAGGGGTTTTTTTGCTTACTTATGCTTATATGTGAGCGAATTTTTGCTTACCATAGTCGGTTATTCGCACCAGGACTCACACGTACGCAGTGAGACACATGGTATAGTTCGTCTAAACGCCTCACTCTTCTTCATTTTTCTGTTCTCATTTTCGTCCAGGGCGTAGCTGGTTTAATGGCAAGTGGCGCACTATCTCACGCGCACGGGCAGGGGCTCGAATCCTGGATCGATGCCTGCCTAGGCCAACCAAGCCTTCCATCTTTCCGGGGTCGGTGAATTGGTACCAGACTCGTCTGGGAGGATAAAAGCACTGACTTGTACATCGGCTGGCCACCGCGCAAGTCATTGTATAGGCCACATACGCACTCATTACGCCACTACGATTCTGAATGGAAGTCGAGTGCGGGGGCGCATCCCTAAGATGGGATTGATTAACGCCAAAACCTTTATCCTTTATCCTTATCCATTTTCGTCCAGTCCCCTTTTTAACGCTTTTTCGATGCCTTTTTCACTTTGGAAACACCAATTCATGCAGTTTCTCCACCTTCCTCGCACTGTTTTCGATCTTGTCTTCCCTTTTTCATCATAATCTGGATTACCCAAAATTATCGTGAGCTGTACCTTTAACGTGAAATGAAATTATTGCAAGGATACTCAGCTTCACAGTAATCAAGGATGCTCTGGCATGGCATCAATACAACAGAAACGGAACAATCAAAAAGGTTCGTCGGTGGGATCAATTCAGTAGGTAAAATATAGAGTTCCAAAGACCAATGTGACAGAGATCTGAGGACTGCAGAGAACTCACAAATCCAAAATCCAATTTCTCAGACTGCAGTAGCAATACTTATC